GTAAAAAAAAAAAAAAAAACGAACGCGGACGCCTTACCTGAAACCTGCAGGGCTCGTGTCCCTCGTGATCAGCCTCGTCCCGGGACTGCTATCTCTCGAGCGAAATCCTTCCCTCAATTTACTGTCGTACCTGGTGATTCCCGAGTAGCCGCTTATGCTGCACGCTAGTCCCAAATAACTAGGCTTCTTCGCTGCCGTCAGCTGCTCCGGTTCCGGACTGCCGCGTTGAGCATTGCTGGCGTTCAGCTTCTTCTCATCGGGGGTGAGATGCGACTTCTGCAGCGTCTCGCTGCTACCGTTCGCCAAGTTCTCGGGTGACGATATCGGCTCGCCGTTAGATAGATTCAGACTGTGCAGAGTCTTTTCGGACACGGAGTCCACAGTGTTCTCTGAAAGAGAAAATTCCGATCTAACACTCGCGGTAGCTTCTCGAGCTTTTTCTGGCTCCGATTTACGATTTCGCAAAGACGAAGACGTTTACAAAAGTAAAGTAGAAACGCGAACGTCGTATCGCGCGATCAAATGAAATTTTACAATTCTGTAAAACCTGCTGTAAGCCTGCTTCGTAACAATGAGCCGGAGTTACGTAGATTAAATCTTTAAGTTTATCTGCTGGAATTCAGAAGCTCCTTCTATCGCGCTTCTATTTAGATTCAGGAAATTTCAATTCATTCCGTGCTTCTCATTAACCGTCTGCTCGGCCAATTGCTCGGCCAGGATGAGACATTCACCTTCGAAAAGTGCGCTGCCGCCCACGCACTATGCACACGCCAGCTCGCGTTAAACGAATCTTATTCGCGACGTAGTCGCGACGCGACCTTATTTCCTGCACCGGGAAACCGGTGGAGCGGCTCGCTACGCCGAAACAACCGGAAATCCAGCTTGGTCACACTTCTCGAGCACGATCGACTGGCACAATTCGCGGAATCGAGACGAGCCCGCGACGAGTTCTCCGCGGCTGTCTAAATCGCCGCGACGGTCCTGGAACACTGAGCAGAGAGACTCTCTCGCGGGCAGACACTCCTCCGTCACCGCCTTCTTGGCAACGACGAGGAAAAGAAACGCGTTTGCACTTGGTGCAAACTCACCTACGATCTAAATCCGATCGGCATTTCGAGCGGGCAACAAGCGTCCACCGATCTATTCGAGAAAGTAACGGTGGAGGGATCGGCGACCTGATCGACCTTGAAGTCTCCAAAATTTGCATGGATCTCGAGGACGATGGACGCAAATTTGAGATCGTCGTAAAAGAGATAATTTAATTTTACTCGTGCGTAGTTCCTTCTTTCCGATCGAATTTTCCAATCCGCGACGCATAAATCAGAGTCAACAACCGATAATAATACTTATTTTTCGCAAAGAACTGAAGTAAAATATAAGGATGATATTTTGCTGATTAAGTAATATCGGAGTTGTTTAACATGCGGCTTTCAGCGTCAATTAAGTGCCCCGTTTTAAGATAATTGAAAGAACTGGTTTAAGAGATAAACTCTACGATATAATCCCACGTTCTTTCAGGCACACTTTTTTCTACGAAATGACTTCCTCGCTCGAGCGACGTGTCTAATCATTCTCGGCCCGACCGAGCTCTCGTAGGGAATTCTTTGCGAGATTTGATCTTCTTCTTCTGTTCTCGCCACAAAGTTCTCCCTAAATCAAAGAAATTAAATTATTCTTTCTAAAATATACCAACACTTGAGGAAAATAATCCATCCAAAAACACCTTTAGAACTTTCAGCTCTTGTCTTTCCGCGAAACCTTAATTAAACATATTTACAAATCTAATTCTTAAATATCGTAAATTATGGACGTATCTCTTTCCTCTTGGACATTCTCAATGATAATTGAGACAATTTGAGAGGGACTAGTCGGCTTAAAAAAAAAATAAAAATAATTTATTCACGTATGCTTCTCAATAACAGCGCGACAATCGCCTTATCGGTTCTTATCAGTAACAACGCGTCTCGTAACCATAGAGATTACGTGTCTCTCAATGCGGGATAGCCAACCTGATCGGTCGGACGCGGAGCGATCGACGTCCAGGCTGCAGCTGCCGATGCTCTCCTGGCTGGTCATGTTGGGATGGTGCCTGATGGCGATCTGCGCCGGTGGTCGAGGATCGGGGTCCAGACGGTGATAGTTGAGAGGCTGCACGGCCAGGGAGAGCGGTCTATTTCGTCGATGCGAGCGGATGCCACCGGCTCCGGGTACCGACGACGTCACCGTCGCGGTACAGGAGTCGTCGACGTCCTCCAGACCCGCCACCTCGCCGCCGCCGCCGCCGCCGCCGCCGCCGCGTCGAGGCTGCTCGTTCGCACG